AACGATAAGAGTATTTGATTGAAAGTGTTACCTGACTCAAAATTTGATTGGCCTGACGTGGTGAGAATCAACGTTCAAATAATCGTGATTCTTATCAAAAAAATTTCAAACAACTATTTGCAACAATTTTGTGATTCATGGATCTCCGATCAAAAAATTGTATCCAAGCTCTGTTGCTAGTCTACTCTCTTTGAACTTTTTAAACTTGGCTAACTGAAACATTTGAATAATTAAAGGGAGGGAAATCACCCTGTTGCTTGTCTTGGGACAGATTAAGGCAGGGACCTCTGGACTTGTTTCTTATGAAATTGAGTGAGGATTGAATATGTGAGACTGTAAAGAAGAGGGAATCATAGAATATACTCGACTGGAAAGAAGAGGGAATCATAGAATATGCTCGGCTGCTTAGTGGTATTGGGAGAACCATTATGGCTATTGATTTATTTGAATTCATCCAGAGTTGCGGAAGAATGGAAGGTAAGCATTTTAAGTTCTTGATTTTAGTTTTCTTTAAATTCTAGAGATTTTTTTGGAATTAAATTTTAAATTTTTAGTATGTTGATATCGAAGGATTTCATACAAGTTTTATGAAGGGAGTCTAAGTTGACTTGGATCAAAAGACTTTGTTCTGATGAACATCAAGAATCAGCATATTGTAAGTTTTACAATTTTAGATGATATTTGGATGTGTTTATTTTCTTTTGTGATTGTCCTAAAATTACAATAAGAGTACTTTGTAAAGAACTTTGATGAAATAACCAAGTACATTGAAGTCATGAAAGTTATGAAAATAGAAAAAAAAATGAAAAAGAATCATAAACTAATCGTATTTTGAAGAAAAAAAATCCATGCAAGCGATGAGGGGCAAACAAGCGTCAAGCAAGAGGCTGAGTAGCGTGTCACCCTCCGCAGAAGACATGTGTCGAGTAGGAGGAGGAGAGGCGCATCGATGTTAGGCAAGGACACGCATCGCAACCTTAGGGAACGACTCAATTCAACCAATCAACCCGAGATCAAATCCACTTTGCCAGTGTGTGATACTAGAATTGAAAACTTGATCCGATCGCCTGAGATTCAAACTAACCTGGATCATTGCGTGCCTATCAGAAAAGGACACGTGTCACAATCAAAGCACGACTTCATCTCCAAAAGGTGCGTCGTACTTGCGCATGAGTTGCTCGTGTGGGAGACTTCCCGTGTGCATGTACAATGCATGTAGGTCTCTTTTTGTCTCGTTTGACATCCGTTTGTCATATTTTCAACTCAATTTCGATAATAACCCTAATCTTCCTTGAATTATGACCTACTAGAGGAATTAAAAAAATTTAGAGCTCCTAACATGCTAAAAAGTTAGCTTATGAAGGCACACAACATCCAAGTAACCACTTTAGGCAAGTAATACTTAGTGCTAGCATTCCTTACCTCAAGTGATTAGAAAACGTATGTTAATTACTTCGGAAGGGCGCTTTTAGATGAGTATGCACGGTATATATGTTATGATAAAATTACCGTTTGCCCCTAAGTTGAGATTTCCGAGAAGCATGTTTTATGTATCATGCAAAGTTAGAAAGACAATGTACATGACTAGAATACGAGTTGGACAATATGGATGAGTATGTTATGCATGATGTAAAATATAACCAAAATGCCTCAATGATGTGATTTGAAACGAATGGTGTTTTATATGCTTTCCGTTCTATTAGAAAGGAGAATAGGCTATTGTGATCTATGCTTTAGGTGATTGATGAATGTTATCTCCCATTGAGCTTGTTTGCTTGTATGTTTACCTGATATAATATGTTTTAGTTGTAAGTGTATGACTGTGTTTCTCTCTGTAGAGTGTATTTTATCTACACAGAGCTAGGGCATTTGAGTTTGATTGACTAGACGATCTAGGTCAAGATGTCTCCAAAAGATTAAGCACCTTAGGATCGTGATCACCGTTCAGAGGGTTTAGACAGTGTTCTCGGATGAAGAAAGACTCGATGAGTTAGAACATAGCAGCCTAGAGCCAAAAGTCCATGTTAAGCTACCTAGGCACCCTAGGAATCCAATAGACCTTGTCAACTCCCAAATAAAATAAGACTGAAGTGAAATCTAAATTATGGATTACATGCTTAGGTGATGGATAGGCATATCTCCCTAACAAAGCATGCATGAGAGGACTCAGTTAAGATTAGAGCGCTACAACTAGTGCAATTTACACGTTGATCTAAGTCAAAACGTCTCCAATAGACCCTACACCCCAAGATTGTGAGCGACGATCAGAGGTCTAGACCTAAGTGCACATAGAGATTTGGATTACCTCCAATGAGCTAATTTCAAGCGCCTTGAAAATGAGAGATGAGATTTAAAGTGTTTAGGAGACTTTGAACCTAGTAGACCTCTATGGCATCCAAGGACAATAGAGGTAGCTCTTCAAGCTTATAGCAGTGTGACGGTGACCTCGGAATCTCCACTACCTATCCACTCTGGTACTCATTTTGTCAAAAATCCACTCTGATAACCATACCATCGAGATAGGTATAGGTCGGATAGGGGAGGTATGTCTAGACGACTAGATGCCCAACCATGTGAAAATGGCTAGAAGTCTCTTGAACAGGGCCCCTATGCTATAAACACGTTCCTGAGAGGGGAGCGTGGGACCACATAGGTTGACCCAGTAGCTAATCGGCACACAGGTGGTTGTTCCCCCAAGCTTTGGTGACTTTATAGTCCTATGGGAGGATCTGCCAGCTAACCTTTTAGAGATGATGTTTAGACTAGCCGATACCATACTATTTTTAGAGAGGGTATGAGATGTGTCTTAACCCAAGTCATTGATCATTCACTACATCAGCAAAGTAATTTACCAAGGTCAAAGAGAAAAAAGATTGTAGCAACCCAACAAGTCAAAGATAGCTTCTAGGGTGTTAGTAGTTGGTATGGTCTACTTCTCTTTCCACTCTGATACCAGTACCGTTGAGCTAGGCCTACATAATTAGGGTTGTGTGATTGACAGGGGACATGAAAAAGTCTAAAACACCCCGAATGGAGAGGAAAAAGAAAGAAATTTTGGAAACCGAAGTTGGTGAATACCCATCATGCTTCAATGAATATATTCAAATAGAATGAATGGTTTTCGAGAAAACCAATTGCTAGAGCTTCCTTGATGTCACGGCTAGAAGTTTGATGAAGAAAACATCGTGAGAAACTCACTCAAGCGTGCAAACGAAAGTAAGTTTCAGAGCATCGAAGTAATGACACGTGTGTTTCCTCTCTGTCTAACGGTAGGAGAAGATGACTGACCACTCCTTTTTTTTTTTTAAGACTGCCTTTAAGTTTCTAAAAAAAGTTAATTCATTAAAGGACCTAGACAAGAAAAGTGGAGGAATTTTGAGCTTGGGAACGACTTGAACCGAGCTCTCGAAGGTGACCAAATTAGTAAGTAGCTACCTCAAACATTTCTCAAGTTTTACTTATAGGGTTCCCTTAAAAATGACTTCCGGAGTTAATATTTACTTAATATTAAGTGAATATGGAAGGTTTAGGACTTGACCCACCCATTAAAGGCTTCAATTGAATGTTTTATCCGGAAGTTACCTATTAGGGCTCAGTAAATCTTAAAATTACACGTAACTGAATTCCACTTAACTTAGACAATTCAAGGAATAAATTTTGTGATGAAAGATGGATTTAAAGAGAATAGAAGTATGTTTAGAACTTAAACCAATGATAAGATAAAAATATTCATATTAGGCTTTTTACTATGTTTTATAATTCAAATGAACTATGAAATACATAAAATTTTACAATTTTGATATGTTTGGATACAAGAATGATTTGTATGCTTTGAAATAAGACAAACGTGAACTATGTAAAGCACTTGATGTCTAAGTTGCACACTTACCTTTATTATGAACTCTCTAGAACTTTAATTATGAACTTAAAGCCTGCACATTAACTCGAACAGTAGAACCAAGTTAAGTAGGCTGATTTTAAGACAAAGACACTACCATGATCTTAAGCCTAATACGATGTCCATATAGCTAAATATCACTCTATGAAACAAATTCAATCTTACCTAGTACGTGCCTTAAGTCATTCTAGACCTCCTACCTATTTGGTATATCATGATCTCATATTATGATCGACCCTAATATTAAAAAATAAAAAAATAAGAGAAAAATAGTAGTATATGAAAGACAAAGAAAGGGAACAAATACTTTCAAATTAATTTTAAGATAAAGTTTTAATAATATCTTTTTAAAAAATGTGAAGGTTATTTTTTTTTTTTTTGTAAAAATTGATCAAAGGAGTAAGATAGTAAATAATTACCATAAAGGCTAAAATTGGAAAAAGAAAAAAAAAATATATATATATATATAGATATTTATTTCAAGAGTATTTTTTTAAAGTTAATATGAAACTTTTTAAAGATGAAAAAGGTGAATCTAAGTAGTTTTTTTTTCATTCACACCAATAAATAATACTAACCCAGCATGCCCTAACGATGAGACAAATATTATGAATGTGGTACGACATGTCAACAAAAACGAAAGTAGACAAGTTTCACTAAATAGGAACAACATGCATGCATGGTAAATCACCGAAAGAGAATACGTAAATTTTATTACTTACTATTCAATAGTTTAGGAGAAAACATATCATGTCATCCTATAGTAAAAAAACGACACAAATTTTGGTAGCATCCCGATGGAAACTTTTCAAATTTAACCGTTGAACAAGAGAGTAAAAAAGAAGAGAGAAAAATTGAGAAGATAGTGGGGAAGGAGGGTAAAATGGGAAGCAGCGAAGGTAAAAAAAAAAGCATGTAAAAAGGTTATAAACGAGCAGCTGTAAATGGTACGAAACAGAACAAACCCCACTGTCCCTCTCTTTTACCTTTCCCTCTGCAGAGACGAAGCCGCCTGGGTGGCAGTAGTTTGAGTACCCACAAACCCAATCGCGTCCCGCAGGTCAGGTCCTAAACTTAAAGGGATACACTTAATTAATGCCCCTTTTTATAACCAAATATGCCCTTCCAAACCTCACTCTAACTAAGACAACAGCCCTCTAAAAGGGCACCCCCTCCTCTCTCTCTCTCTCTCTGTGCAAATGGCAATTTAGGGTTTTTTTTTTTTTTTTTTTTTTTTTGGATCTGAATTTTTGTTCTTCCCCTCTGCTTCAGCCATTGGTGAGAGTGAGAAATTTGTTAATTTTAATTTTTATTGTTATTAAAATAAGGGAAGTGATTTTTTATGTGAAAATTATGCGTTTTTTTTTTTTTTTTTTTTTTT